GAAAGACTTATTATCTTTAGCAGTTTGCAAACAGTTTATATATGCACATGGAAGCTGCACATCAGATAAGATGTGTTCTTGCAAGTACCTTTCATTGAAAAAAAGGCTTCAGTCTCCACCTGCAGATAAGACCCCACAAAACTGCATTAGAGCATATATCAAATGGTACAGAGACTGGAGAACAAGATGGAAGAGAATCCTACCTACACTTTTTACTCTGCTAGCAGCAAATAGGTGTACTTTATAGACTGCTTGATAATAAGGTTTGTGGGGTCTCTTTAACAGCCAGGTTGAGCTATGGAAGCAAAAGTATGATTTGTGTGTTTCATCAACCACACAAGCAAGCTTTAAACTCACCAGTTTTGAATATATTTAATGTCTTTTTCATTATACATTGAACAAAAATAGAGCTCTGTTACAAAGTGACACACCTTAGGTTTTTTTTTTATTTCATTTGAGATGCCTAAGGAAAGGAGGAGGCATGATCTATTCCAAGTCTGTGCATGAACGCATAAAATATAAACAGCTGAGAAGACCAACAGTAACTTTTCATAAAGACTTTAAGTAGCCAGCCTTTGTGTCACTGCACAGTTTTTATGGTTGCAGGAGCTTAGCAGCAAGCTTAGAGAGCTTTGCCTGTGTTTTGCTGCTTTTCTCATCAGTGCCTTCATGCCTGCTGATTAAGGGGCCATAAATCTTTAGAATATTAGCACAGGAGTCCACTTCCATAGCAAATGACAACCTTCCCCTGCCTCCTTTTAACTGTTATCACACACATGCGGCAGCTACTTACACATATCATCGTCACACACACACCGTATGTTCCATACAATGAATGCTCTCTTCCTGGAAACCTGAACCTCTTACCACTGCTAGAGAGTAGCCTTTACTCTTGAGGTCACCTAACTTGGCAAGTCGGTGAGTTAATGGGTCTGAAAAGATTATCCTATACCAAAACTGATGTAAACATTCTCCTTTCAATGTCGAATGTATGAGCTTGGATGCCTTTCATCTTTCGCTGCACATTCCAGATGTTTGCTTCTTTCCTCTCATCGTATATACATGATGGGATAGATAATGCACTGAGTTCAGATTTATGCCTAGAGCATGATGCATTTGTACTCCACTTCATTACACCTTCTTTTTCCCTTTTATTTGGGAAAGGAGAAGTACCTTAAAGGCCTTTTTTTAATTCAGACTTGATTTGTTTATTCAGTGCTTTCCAAAAGCAGTCTGGTTAGAGTCCCTCATGCCCTTCATTTCCTCTGCTGTTCCCCTGCAATATATCTCCTTTCAGTCAAGGGTGATTCTGTGCTCTAGTGGTTTACTTCTTCAGCTGCTTTGAAAGAGTTCCAGAAGGCAGGTCTCACAACTTGCTTTGGCATAGTCTTTGTTAAAAATTTAAATAAACAAATAAATAGAAATTCAGCAACATAAACCAGATCTTTAGCATGAGGTATTTTGAGAATGAAATGCTAACTTTTCCCCAGGTAATACCCTAATATACATTCACTATTCAAGATTATGGGGAACATCCTAAAACTACAACGGGTATTTCAGTTTTTACCTTTCTTTGAATGTCAACAGCTATCTGCTGTTGAGTTTTATTTCAGTTTTTGGTTCAATCTGAGGGTCTCTCAGACTGAGCTACTGTTAACTTCACTAGCACAGGACAGGGCTTTTTGTATCATCTATAAGTCTTTTATTTTTCTGAAACAAGCAGGTCTGTTAAAAAACATCTGAATCCACTGACCACAGTTATTCCTCCATTTTCCTGTTTGTTTTTTTTTCCAGTCTTGCTCATTTCAGTCTGAGTCAGTCCAGGATAGATTTTTTTATTTCTTTTTTTCAACTTAAGGATGATGCAAACACACCTGATGCAAAATCAGTGTCAAGTATCAATAAAAGGGTATTTAAACACAAGCAAATGTGCTCTGAGCTAGGACGCTATTGCTATCTGAAAAAAAAAAAGAATTGTGGTTATTTCATTCAATAGTTTATCTTGTTGTATATGTAGTTTCTCTTAAATTAGACAGCAGTGTTGTCCAATAGAAGATGTATCTATTTGTCATCAGATATGTAGAAAAACTAATTTGGAGGATGTTTGCCCCACAGCTTTCTTGATTCTGCATTGTGCTACCAATTTCTATTAGGGTTTCTAAATTCTGCATGCTCCTGTCCTTTCTGTTCCTTGTCCTTGCTCTCACCACTCTGCGTCAGGGAAATCTGTCACTTTTGTTCTTCAGTAGCAGGGAGTTTTTAACCATTTACCTTAACATGCAGAGTAACTTACCTTCTAGGCATACAATGTCCTTGTGAATTGCTATGGCATGTAGTCTTAGTTTCCCTGAGCCCTGCATATACTTCGCTTTAGGCCTAGCTGACAAATTCCAGGGATATGTTCCTCTCTCTTGAGTTTTAGGGAAAAAAAAGATTCAAAATTCTTGAAGAACAAGAGGTTACTCAAGTTTCTTTGAGTTAAAAACCACCATACACAAAGGGATATGTGGGAGGGAGCACTTGCCTGGTGCACCAGGGAGGACTCCTCTGGGGCCCCTGGGTATGGTTCTGCCTCTGCTCTGTTGGAAGTGGCTCTTCATCATACAAAAATGAGCTTTTATGTTGCTTGCTATCCAGTGATTTGGATTTGTGTATTGTATGCCTACATATTTATTTATGCATGTATTTTTAGTTGCTTGATTATAAATCAAGTACCGCAAGCGTGGGGAGAATTAACCTGAAATATGGCTTTGATCATCAGAAAGCATTTTGTCTTAGGTCCTTATTTTTCATAGACTCCACTTGCAGTAAAGTATTGTTCTGGAAGTTCAGCGTGTGAATTTTGTCATCACTTTCTGCACATATTAACTTGAGATAAGTTGTTTCAGAATTAAACGTTCACTCCTCTGACTGGTGGCATTTGGGAAGGGCTTTGCCAGAAGCCATTGCTCAGGATGGACAGGCAGAGATCCATGTCCTCTGGCTGCTTCTTCCTAGGCCCCTGTCCCATGCAGGGGGACATGCTATTTAGGTTGGCAGCTTGGCCAAACATACAGCAACCTCAATGCCAGCCAAAGGTCCCCTGCTGTAAAGATGTCCTTAGCTGCTCAGTATAAACAGCCATCTTAATTCTTCAGTTCTGTTCTGGAACAGCAAAGGGAATTCTCTGGTGAGCTGCAGTGGAGAGGGTATCTGTGCATGCACCTTTAAAACACTGTTACGTAAACCAGAGGAAATCAGGATGTTATTAGTGCCATCTGTATTAACAGGCAGAATGTCAGTGTACCGTTCCTCCTTTACTACCAGTCCCACTAGCTTGTGAGTATGGAAAACAGATAAAGAAACTTAGTCGTCTTCATAGAATTGTGTGCTTGTATCTGGAATGCCCTGGTGTAATTCTGGAGTTTGTAAAGTTATTAGCTCTTCAGAAAACATTATCAAGGTTTTAATCTGTCTACGGAACAAATACCACTCTCAAAAGGTAAAATATTTAGGCTAACAAGAAAGTAAAATTTTTATCTCAAGCGTGCACAGTGATGAATTTTATCTTACGCATATGGGGTTTTATGATATGCTTCTGCAAAGATGTGGGAAATAATTGTATGTCTTCTCTATATAGTTCTTAAAAGATAATGTGATAAATTTGCATATCTATACATGACTGTATAATGTACTTGGAAATGGTTTTAACAAATTTGACCTTCTGAAACACTAAACAGATGTTTTCCTCAAAATTTCTAAATTTCTCACAAATTGCTAAGCTCATCTTACAGTTTTAAATATCCCATTTAGTTAGCCTTTAAGAATTACGTAACTTAGCTCTGGTGAAGGAAGGAAATTCATTAGAAATAAGCTGCCAGGCTGAAAGCAATCCATAGTCCGTGAACTGTCACACTGAAAGGGGCTTCATTATTTTATTTCCTTTGGCTGTTTTCTAAGTGCTTCCAGTGAATTCAGAAATAACTCTCAACAAAATCGTCTGGATCTTGGCTTCTCAGGGCTGCATTACTGGAAAGCTGAAATTTAGATCTAATACACCATTGTGTATGAAAGCATTTGTTAAAAATACTGATGGAAGGGACTTGTCAACTATGACTGTCCACAAATTTGCTCTTTTCCATTAATATTTTAAATTGGTTTTGTGCTAATTTGCATGGCTAATTCATTAAGTACTCTTTAATCAATCTTTTAGTAGCCTCTTCTTTGGCTGCATGTACCTTCTGCAGGAGGAGGAGGCAAGCTTTATATATGGTCTGTAGTCCCTTGTCATGGTAGTATGCATCCAAAGTCCAGCAAAGCCTCACTCTTCCAGGTATCACATATACCTGTGGTATGGGGTCATTCTGCTTCACTGAGCAAAGGACTGATGGTTTAAAAAAAGCTAGTCAATTTAACCAGTATAAACTCCCATGAAATGCCAAGAAGTGTTTTCTCTTATATTTGCTGTGCCTTCCATTATAGTGTGGGAATATTATCTACTAGTGATGTTATATTCAACACTATATTTTCCCATTCTAAATATAATGAATTAATATCAAGAAAATTAATATAATATCACATTGTGATAAACACCAGTTTTAAAGTTTTGCTTTATGCACTTAAAATACTGAAACTGGAATTATGATGAAGCACAGAGATGGTCTTCTCTTGCTGATCCCAATACTTTAGGGATATCTATTTATATGATACGATGAGATTTATAGTATCAATGAGAGCCTGCAAGTCTTTAATGAAAAAGTCAGAAGTCATGTTTTACTGTTTTTAATATTCTGTAGTTGACTTAAAGGTAAAAGCTTGTTTTTTATTGCTTTGCACTTTCTATTCTGATTTTAAAATTCAGAATTCTGCTTTTGGTCTTTAATAGACCTTCACATCAACTTGCTTGCATCAACAGAAACATGAAGTCAGTTCTGCAGACATGCACTTGATTCTACATTATGATGTGTGCTGTGTCTTTATCTTTCAAAATTCTAATGCGGTTTTTACTTTCTCCTGTACAGGATGACAAGGACTTGGTTCATGAGTTTGTTGTTGCTGAAGGTCTGACTTGCTTAATCAAAGTGGGAGCAGAAGCTGACCAGAATTATCAGAACTACATCCTGAGAGGTAAAGCAAGTGCATTCAAAAGTTGTTTTATTGCTGCGAAGCTCTCAGAGGTCAGCTGCAACATCATAGAATCATAGAACCTTAGAATAGTTAGGGTTAGAAAGGACCTTAAGATCATCTAGTTCCAACCCCCCTGCCATGGGCAGGGACACCTCGCTCTAAACTGTATTACCCAAGGCCTCGTCCAACCTGGCCTTGAACACTGCCAGGGATGAAGCATTCACAACCTCCCTGGGCAACCTATTCCACTGCCTCACCACCCTAACAGGAAAGAATTTCCTCCTTATATCCAATCTAAACTTCCCCTGTTTAAGTTTTAACCCATTACCCCTTGTCCTACCACTACAGTCCCTAATGAAGAGTCCATCCATGTTAAATGTCTTGGAACATCTTTCTCAGTTTGGTCCCAATTATCATAGAATCATAGAATAGTTAGGGTTGGAAAGGACCTTAAGATCATCTAGTTCCAACCCCCCTGCCATGGGCAGGGACACCTCACACTAAACCATCTCACCCAAGGCTTTGTCCAACCTGGTCTTGAACACTGCCAGGGTTGGAGCATTCACAACCTCCTTGGGCAACCCATTCTACTGCCTCACCACCCTCACAGGAAAGAATTTCCTCCTTATATCCAATCTAAACTTCCCCTGTTGAAGTTTTAACCCATTACCCCTTGTCCTATCACTACAGTCCCTAATGAAGGGTCCCTCCCCAGCATCCCTATAGGCCCCCTTCAGATACTGGAAGGCTGCTAGGAGGTCTCCATGCAGCCTTCTCTTCTCCAGGCTGAACAGTCCCAACTTTCTCAGCCTGTCTTCATACAGGAGGTGCTCCAGCCCCCTGATCATTCTCGTGGCCCTCCTCTGGACTTGCTCCAACAGTTCCATGTCCTTTTTATGTTGAGGACACCAGAACTGCACACAGTACTCCAGGTGTGGTCTCACAAGAGCAGAGTAGAGGGGCAGGATCACCTCCTTCAACCTGCTGGTCACGTTCCTTTTGATGCAGCCCAGGATATGGTTAGCTTTCCAGGCTAGAAGCGCACACTGCTGGCTCATGTTCAGTTTCTCATCGACCAGCACCCCCAAGTCCTTCTCCGCAGGGCTGCTCTGAATCTCTTCTCTGCCCAACCTGTAGCTGTGCCTGGGATTGCTCCGACCCAGGTGTAGGACCTTGCACTTGGCATGGTTAAACTTCATGAGGTTGGCATCAGCCCACCTCACAAGCCTGTCGAGGTCCCTCTGGATGGCATTCCTTCCCTCCAGCGTATCAACCGAACCACACAGCTTGGTGTCATCGGCAAAATTGCTGAGGGTGCACTCAATCCCACTGTCCATTTCAGCGACAAAGATGTTAAACAAGACTGGTCCCAACATCAATCCCTGAGGGATACCACTATTTACTGGTCTGCAGCTGGACATTGAGCCATTGACCGCTACTCTTTGTGTGCAGCCATCCAGCAAGTTCTTTATCCACTGAGTGGTCCATCCATCAAATTGATGTCTCTCCAATTTAGAGACAAGGGTGTTGTGTGGGACAGTGTCGAATGCTTTGCACAAGTCCAGGTAGATGACATCAACTGCTCTACCCCTATCCATCAGTTCCATAGCCCCATCATAGAAGGCCACCTAATTGGTCAGGCAGGATTTCCCCTTAGTGAAGCCATGCTGGCTGTCACCAAGCACCTTGTTGGTTTTTCATGTGCCTTAGCATGCCTTTCAGGAGAATCTCCTCGAAGATTTTGCCAGGCACAGAGGTGAGACTGACTGGTCTGTAATTCCCTGGGTCATCCATTTTCCCCTTCTTGAAAATGGGGCTTGTATTTCCCTTTTTCCAGTCATTGGAAACTTCACCTGACTGCCATGAATTTTCAAATATGATGGCCAGCGGCTTCAGGACCCGTGGGTGGATTTCATCAGGTCCCATGGACTTGTGCACATTCAGGTTTTTAAGATGGTCTCGAACCCGATCCTGGCCTACAGTGGGCCCAGGGTCTTCATTCTCACAGTCCCTGCGTCTACCTTCCAAGTCTTGGGTGGTGCGGTCAGAGCCTTTGCCAGTGGAGACCGAGGCAAAGAATTCATTACGAACCTCAGCCTTCTCCAAATCCTGGATATCCAGTTCTCCTGAGAGCTTCCAGAGGGTGCCTACGTTGTCCCTAGTCTGTTTTTTATTTGCTAAGTATCTATAGAATCCCTTCCTGTTATCCTTAATATCCCTAGCCAAGTTTAATTCTAACTGGGCCTTAGGTTTTCTAACCTGGTCCCTAGCTCCCCAGACAACATCCCTGTACTCTTACCAGCCGCCTGTCCTTGCTTCCACTTTCTATAAGACTCTTTTTTCCTTTGAATTTTCCTCAGCAGCTCCTTATCCATCCAAGGAGGTGTCCTGGCCCTCCTGCTGCACTTTCTTCTAGTTGGGATGCAACACTCCTGAGCTTGTAGCAAGGTGATGCTTGAATATCAACCAAGAGTCTTGGGCCCCCTGCCCTCTAGGGCTATATCCCATGGAACCTTACTAAGCAGGTTCGTGACGAGGCCAAAGTCTGCTCTCTTGAAGTCCAGGGCAGTGAGCTTGCTGCACGCTCTTCTCATTGTCCTGAGGATCTCAAATTCGACCATCTTGTGATCGCTGCAACCAAGGCTGTCCTGGAGCGTTACATTTCCAACCAGCCCTTTGCTTTTGGTGAGCACAAGGTCAAGCACGGCACCTCTCCTTGTCGGCTCCTCTATTCCCTGCAGAAGGAAGTTGTCTTCCACACAATCGAGGAACCTCCTGGATTGCTTGTGCTGGGCCCTACCGTCATTCCAACAGATGTCAGGGTGGTTGAAGTCCCCCATGAGGTCAAGGGCCTGTGAACGTGAGGCTTTTCCTATCTGTCTCTAGAGTGCTTCATCCACAGGTTCTCCTTGATCAGGTGGTCTATAACAGATCCCCACAGTAATGTCTTCCATCACTGTTTTCCCTCTAACCCTGACCCACAAACTCTCTGTTAAGTGCTCACCTGTCCCTAGACAGAGTTCCATACTCTCCAGCCAATCCCTAACATAAAGGGCAACTCCCTCTCCCAGCCCACCGGGCCTGTCTTCTCTAAAGGGTCTGTAACCTTCCATTCCAACCCAATTCTTGCATGTTATGTAGGAAAGGGGCGGGGGGGGGAGGTCAATACCACTGAGCAGGATGAACTGGAAAATTCAAGTCCATGTTGAAAGACTCTGTGTTACCCATCTTTTCTTTTGGATTATATTGCAAATCCATAATTCTAAGAAGGAAAAGATGTTCTAAAACTTTCACCAGATAATCATAAATGTTGAAGGGCACAAAGTGAAATAACTTCCCAGAGTATGATTAGTAGCTATGGTATAAACAGTGAGACAGTCATATCTTAAGGTCAGTTGGCTGAAAACAAGTTTTGACTCCATGTTTTGGAGTTAAAGAGGTAGTCAGAGGTTTACACTCTGTTCTCTGCATTTAGAAGATAACTTGGCAAAGGTAGAGTTTGGAGAGGGATATTGAAAAGGTGTGTCACTGGAACAGAATGCTGATTTACTGTAATGTGGCCCAAATGAATATATACAGTTTTTATCTAACCAGGAAACCCAAGCTGCAAACTCAAGAGTTCCTACAGTATTTCAAGGGGTTATGAGCAAGGGGAGAACAGTCACACCAAGGGATCTTCGCTGCTGGATGGTCTTGTAGTAAATAGAGAGTGCTAATGGATGCATAGTTGTGGTAGATTGCTCATTTGAGTTTTCTTAGACTAACTTATATAGCTGCCTTTAAAAATGTCACTTTGATGTATTTAGCTGCCAAAACTCAAATTGCAAATTGAGGAGTCAGACAAATACAAAAACAAGGAGAAGGATCTTGTAAGAACCAGAAATGCAAGAGTTATACAAAGTGAGGATGCATATAGTAAGTATGGCTTCGTGCAAAGAACTTCAAGATTAGACTGCAAAAATACCAGCTTTTGGGGGTATGAAAGGAACTGAACCAGTACCACAGAAATTGTATTCTAAGTCAGTAATTGTGCAATGGTATGAATGCACTTCATAGTAGCTTCTACCAAAAGTAAAAGAATATTGAACACACTGAAACTAGACAATGGCACAGGAACATGTGAAGGAAAAAAGACTTTCTTTACAGCTAAAAGAAAAAGCTTTTTGGACAAAACCGCCGTGGATGCTCTCAGAAAATTCTGAGCAAAATAAAAGTGCTGTATAGGGCAGTCTGGCCTTCAGTCTAGTAGCTTGTTCCTTTATCATCTTGGTATTGACCTACTGTGGCTGGATGATGTCTTTGCCCTTCAGCTGGTTTTGCAGCCAAATATTGAAAATTGAAAACAAGGAAGCCTGGTAGGGGTTTACACTACTTGAGCAGTGTGAAGTCTCCTTATAATCTGGATAGCCCTGCAGCTCGTGTGCTCCAGTGACAGATAAGGTCCAGGGCACTAAGCCTCACCAGTGACCCAATGATCTACTGACACCAGAGAAATCAGTCACATCTGAGTGATCTCACCAGAGTATCGCATGTATCTTCTTACTGAGATCTTGATGACATCACCCAGGTACGGATTGAGAAGAATTAAAACTCCCTTTAACATTGATTTCTTTTTTTTAGTTTTTCTTTCTTAAAAAAGCCAAACAAACAGGAATGAAATTTTATCTGCATGACTAAGGATGCACCCTAACGCATCCAGAATTCAGGCAGATGACAGTGGTCTGTTTCTTGTTGTATTTCTTGGCTCTCAAGAATTCAGTGTCCATGGTCTGAAGTTAGAGATTTTTCCAGTGGGTTCACAGTGAATGATAAAACAGAGCATTAGTGCCAATATCCACAGCATTATACTAAATAAACTGCAAGCTCATCTTGTTGCATTGTTATTAACAAGTGATGACAGCTTGTTGAAAATAAATATAAAACAAATAAAACAACAAAAAGTAACCATGTAGAAATATGCCGTAAAGCTAAAAAAACCTTTCAGATATTTGTATTTTCTC